TAATATGGTGAAGCACGACACCACAATGACAGACTGTGCTGTCGTGCTTCGCCATCTTAATGCCGTATTGTCACCATCATCCTGTCGCACTGTCATCATCTAACTGTCTTATTCAGCATTTTGGTCTTAGAGAAAACGCACTGGCCCTAACGGAGCACCGTTTCTTAAGGCAAATAAAGATAGCGTTATATACACATCTGAACTAAAATACTGTTCGTAACCCTATGTTTTCGTAATTAACATGGTTTGAATTTTCGGGACAAAATCAAACAACGTGATAATTTGGCATTATCTATTACGTTTTAAAATGGAACGTAAAATACTGCACGTTCCTAAAGTCGCTTTTTGTCTAGATACACACCTAGTATAATTTACTGTATAAGTGGATTTTTATGCGTCACAAAAATTTTGCGAATGTCAAAAAGTTGACTTCGCAAACTGTTGACCGGTCAATAAGTTTGACTGTTTCACTTATGTTTTGACGTCATAAAGGATTTCCATTGGAAGCTTTAACACATTTATAAAACTATTTACTTGTTCCTTTTTTCTTCTGCAAGTACTGTTAAAATAGTTATTGACCAGGTAATAAAACAGTTATTTCATATGTTATTTCGGAACAGTTGTCCCTCGATTTCGGGGATAGTGTTTTTTATAGTTCAAACATTTTCCCCTCCACCTCGTGTCAACACTTTGACTATTCCCAAGTTACATTTGACATACCTGTGTACTGATATCTAGGCCCATGCACATGAGAACTAAGAATGTTTTTAATTGTATATTTGAATATTAAAATAACAGTGTTGTCAATTTTGATACTACGTTTTTTCACAAACATTGAGGATGATGTCGTGCTTCTGGTGTCAAGTATATGAACTTGAACTCTTGGCAAAGTTTTCTGTTCTAGAAAATGAAGGTACAAAAGCATCCTGTGAAGACATGTTTCATTCTAACGATATATTAAGATATATGAATATACATATATGATTGGTTTTCCTTGTTGATTGTTTTATGACTATGGTATAGAATATGGAAAATAAATCTTTTACATGTTCTCATTTCAATATAAGTTAAGAATCATTAGACAAGGCTCTCATAAATGTTCGTAACAAATGTTGTAATTTAAAATTCACATTTGTTTATGAACTAAGTTTCTCTTTTTAGGCCCTTAAAGGGTAACCACGTTTATTTAAAAAAAAGATTAATACATACATACATACATACATACATACATACAAACATACATACAAAGACATGTATATCTAAATCGAACCAACAAAAACACATGCAACATTCAAACCAAAATAAAAAGAGGTCTGTGATAAGTGTAATATCTCTCTAAATATTTCTATGAAAATTGTTTCTATTCATATTGTATGTAAACATAATTAATACATAATAAAGATATAATGCCACACTACAAAACTTATCTTGAAATGAAGAAAAGAAAATATATTTCAAATCTTTCCCGTTGTTTTTTCAAAAATATCTTCCTTGTTAATTACGTTATTTTTGCGTTTCCCTCTCGATTTGGTATTAGTATTAAATGTGATGCTTGGCAACCTCTTTACATGTTTTTTTTTAACTTTATTTTACAATTATAAATGAACTTCTTTACAATTAAAATAAAAAAAGGAAAATATTCGTTTCATTATCTGCATTTGTATGCATATAAATTGTACTCTTGTCGAATGCAAATGAGTATTTTCACAACGACCATGAATCATATCAAAAACAACTAAATTGTCAAAATAAGAGGTGTCCTAAGCTTTCAGCATCATTGCTGCAGAAAGTGCACACCATATGTACAAGTGCAATAGTGAAATATAAGATCTTGTAATATGGTTTCCACGATTTACACAAAATGTTATTCAAAACGTCATAATAAATATGCATAATATAATACGATGCGATAGTTATCGCTAGATATTATGATACAATATTTGATCATAATTTCATAAACAACCATACAATGACATTCCTCAATTATATACTAGGAAAAATAAGTAATTATAAGAGAATCTGAAATTGAGGATAATGAAGTGTTATGTAATATTGTCAGAACAAATTCCATATAAAACAATTTAGAAAATTTGCAATTCAAATATAATTATTGTATAAATTTTTGAACAAAACAATGTGAATAGATAATTCAATTCCATGTAATATTCATCTTATATGATCTGTCTAAAGTTGCATTTCTTCCATCGAAACAATGGAACATTAAATAAATTATATGCTTGGAATGTCCCCGATCTTTCTTACAAAAACATAACAAATGAGGGTCGTCCCAGTAAATCGTGGATTTTGCTTATCTTTTACTTCATTTGATTTCCGATTGACATCATGCTCTACATTACCTCTAATTCAATTTAAAGGCGCGGTGAATTTTGCGTAATCCTTTATAACTGTCAAAGTATGCATATCAGGCACAACCCAATAATTAGTGCTCAATAAAGCCCTTTTTGCATTTAGCACAAAAAATATTCGACTGTTGCTTTACGTCATCAGTTTGAAAGTAATTTGTTTTAAAATGGCGAACTTTAAAATATTGGCCTTTGAAATAACAGCATAGTGAAATACTTTGCCTTAATTTTGACATGAACACAATTAAATATTTAGATTTTATTTTGACAATGGTACGAACCACCGGTAGTAAACCTGCAATTTTTGAACAATCTTTGCACCAAGACTGAAAAATTATAACTCAAAATCGCAAAAGACGCCTTTCTGGTAGTATGAGGAGAATGATTGATTAAAACCGTTTGTTAAAACTGATTGCAACACTAGTATTTGCAAACATCTAACATATTTCGAGTTTTGGTAAGCAATATTCTAATGAATGTAGCGTGTAGCCACAACATGATGTTAAATTCAATGCAAACACCACAGAATGATTTTGACAGATATGGAGACGCATGACATCAAGAAGGTGAACATCGTACCTGCAATAGTCAGATAACGAATAGCGCAAATTACACGCGCTGAAGGAGATGGAAAGTCTCTTATTTTCAATGTGTTATTGCTCATTAGATTTTACGAGACTTTAACAAATCTTTAAGAAATGTCTTTCCAAGTTATTATTCCGTTTATATGAAAAAACACATGACAATAATGCCTACTTACATAATTAAGTACTTAAATGTATATTATGCCTAAGAAATACTTGGCCGTTTATTTGTTAAAAAACTTTATATTGACATATCTTTATAATGTCCTTAAAGCTCATCATTGGATAAATATATCAATCATTTTTTTCCTCAGCTGCATTTGGTATTAGTACTTTTAGACTGATTTAGTTTTTCATATGAAGTCAAAATATTACCTAGTTATCATTTTACTACATTAATAACAAATCATTGCACACATAGCACTACTTTTGTCAGGTACCAAACATAAAACCAAAAATGTTAACATACTGAGAGTCATGTTTGCCCATTCTAAAGATGTAAACATTTATAGAATTCTAATGAATAACGTGACATTATTGTTCCATTGTATATAGCAAGGCGCGCATTAATAAATCTCGTTTTTATTTTACCTAATTTCCTAGTTCATCTGAACTTATTTCAAATCTTTGATTTCCAAAAGTCTAAAATTGTTTGTTGATTGTTGAAAGTATTGCATCTGTTAATTTAAAGCGTGTACGTTTCACATTACACGTACAGAGTCGCTACTAAAATGCAAAATTGATATTCATAATTTAGAAAAATAATAAAAATTACACTGGAAAGAATAAATAATTATTGTATGCACAAACTTTTTGAACAAATATAATAATCGTTTATATTTTGTTTTTATCTTTTCAATCCTCCAATTTCGAGTTCATTTTTATTTGTTACCCCTTATTGCTGAGGTGGTGCATTTAAGGTTTGAGGCATCAGAGGTGTAACCACCGTAGATCACTTTGGAATCGTACGAGGCGACAAAATGTGTTCGGATTACTTAAGCATATGCATCTCTATGCTCCAGCAAATGAGGTGGATAGTTCCCAGGTATTGCCTAAAACTGTAATACTCGCGGGTAGGAAAAACCATCGATCTTGTTCCGGTACCATAAATCTTAAAATATACTGATGCACCGTAAAACAAGACAAAATAAGCAAAGTGGTCTAGGTAAATTAATAAAAATGGAAATTTTAATAATAAACGCCAGAGTTAGCACATTTTGACATGTTACATGCTCAATTTGATCACTACTTACAGTAATATATACGATCTTCTGACCACCTTGTATTCGTCTACCTAAGTAAAGCAGATTTTTGAAAATTGGCTTATTTGAACTAATCCCACAAATGTAATTATACAGTGATGATTATTAAATCTTCAATTTAACACTTTTTACTCACTATTTGAAACACGGCTTAAAATTAAACAGGAAACTTGACTTTATTTGCACGGACCCCTTTTCAAATTTTCTAGCCAACTTTGGCGTGGCGACTGGACGTCGCAATATTGTCTTACAGACGACTGTACAGTTTTAGGTCCGCCATTGATAACGGGACAGTAATGAGGGCCTTCAAAGCAGTTTACTATTTGATTTTTTTAATCAAACGCTATATCTGGTTTGCAACAAACGCGTTACTGGTATGTCTAAATAAGCAAAGCAGACAAAATTACTTTTATTTGTTCTAAATTCGGACAATACATTATAGCAGACGACGTTTTACCACCGACAGTCCGCTAAAATACTATTTCTAGTCGTTGTGCAGTATGGGCAAGTGGAAACATGTTTACATATTAAACCTTTTTACAAATTATTTCATCATATTCGAATTGTCAACATCGAAAGGTACACATCGATGACCCTATTTTTATTTTAATACCGATAAACGATTCTCTGTTATCACACAAGGATAAAACACTTAGTGATATAGTACAATAAAAAGAAATAAAACAATAACCACAACGTGTGTTTGAAACGCACTAATGTTCCGACTGTAAATATTTTGCCAATTAAAGTTCAAGTTGATATAACAATAAACACTTACAAACTTTCTTTAGAGCTAAAACTTTATTATCACACTATGTTAAAATAATGAGTTATAATAATAAAGCACAAATATAAAATCAACAATATCAGCAACGTGTGTTCAGTGTGTATAAGCACTGGTTATCTTCATGCTGTCTCCCAAATTAAATCACTCAGGGTAGAGAAGAATTAAGGACATGTTTCAGACATAATTTTATAAAAAAGACTTTAAAGGTTGTATAGAAAAACATGTTTTAAAGCAAATTTTCTTTGTCTCTTATTGGAAAGGGGAGGCGTTATGTCGCCCCACTACTGTTTTTTGTACAGTGGCATGCAATTTTTTAAGTGTCAATAAACCTCAGATGCCAATCCTTGCATTATTTCAGACATAATTTGGCCCCCGCGTAAAACTAATGTCAATTCGTATGCTAGTTTAACAGCATTCTGATATGGAACACTCCACATTCTCTGTTGAGAGTTAACTACCTGCGGTGAGGAGACAGTGGTTTGCAGTCAACCAACTAAACCACTCAACCAAATGCGGCATATGTGTCATTGACCTTAATCACAGTGACCAAACAATTCAACGAAACTACAAAGACTAGCATCCTCTAATGTGAAAAATATCAGTCAATCTCATCTGACTGTTTGATAGAAGGTTCAATTGCTATACACACAGGACTTTGAAATACCACGTCATTTCTTCTCAAACACACCTTGATTTATTGTGTTTTTTACGTTTCATGTACCCTGTCTCATTATTTCTTTTATTTTTGGTTGGGGCAGAAACATGGAAGAAAGCACAAAACAGAAGTGTCTACAAAGAAAACGCGTCCATCCGATTAACCTCTTTGCCATTTTCTGCAATTATAACGAATTATAAGAATAATTATAATAAAAGTACAGAACGAGATAAAATACAAGAAAAAAGGAAAATAGAGAAAAAAATCTTTTTTTACAGTTCATTATATTACGTTGTCGATGGGTGTTAAATTTGCCTCAAGATTACGAAAATAATCTTCTGCAGTGCAGTTCATTGCACATTCATATATTCCATGTTCAGTATTAAAAGCAATGTCGATAATCTTAATCAATGAACTGTCCGGAAATAAACTGTCCGCTGCTAGTTTCTGCTCTGTTAACAGCTTTGGCTCTTTTCCTTTTGTAGTGACATGCAGTGCTATCAAAATTGTTCTGTTTTGAGCGGCTTCTGTAAGAGTCAGATATATATTTTTCTTTTCTTTAAAGTAAATATGTAAGTAACAGTATGTTTGGCACAGTGTACGTATGTCGAAAATCTTAATTACTCCTAAAGTGCAGTTGTCTACAATGAGCATATTTTCCATTAGCATTCAACAATTGAATAAACAATGAACAGACACAAGAAATGCATAATTTGAATACTGTTATAAGACTTTTCCTAAAAATAAATTATGGATAGAGTAGTAAGTGATTCAGTATGAGCTTTTATGTTAATAATTTGTTTTAGATCACAGTTTATTATCTGCTATTTTAAATATATTTTTTCCGAACATGTATATGAAAACTATCAACATATTTTATTGCATTTTATTACTTATATTATTTCAGACAATATATTTTGGACCAATTCACAAATTAGGTAAATGTAGAAATTCTACTGTTTTTATTAGTAACATTAATCGATAAATATAATGCTACAAAATCTCGTCAATTGAATGTAAATTGGTAAGGATCAAATGTCCCGATCTAAAACTATTAAGAAATTTAAAAAAACAGCAATTAATGTTACATACGTAAGTTGTCATCATAGCAGCGCTTGATGTCAGATTCAATGCGCGTTGTGACATTACAAACTATCATCAACAGCAAACTAGGATCAAGGTTCTTAGCATCACTTGGCTCCTTTTCTTCGATCTCGATTCCAAAACCCCTCATTCTTGCTTGAAATAACTTAGTAAACGCTGACATAGCATTCGTTTTAGACGGGGTCATCAAATATACCGCTTTGCGGGGATATCCTACAAATAAAAGCATTTAGACATAATAACAGTTTAAAGCAGTTTTAAACACAACTTTCACCATACTTGATATATGTAAATATATGTATATAAACAGAAATAAAGAAAATAGTACAGGGTTCCTTAATTATAGTTATTTTTCAACTTTAAATGTACGTATATATATATATGTTTTGTCTGTGAAAACTTTACTAAAGAAACTTAATGAAAGACAAATATTTTGAAATTCTTCTAAAATGCTTTAGTCCAAACTATCCAAGCTGTTCATAGTAGAGTTTATTTGTAGAATAAGTAAAGGTCTTGTTTATTATAATGTCACCCCTACTCAAAGGGCCAGCCGTTTCTGACTTATGAGACACTTATTGTTTGAATATTATATACCTCCCAACTCCTACCACTATGCCAGGCGCCAGACGGATAGGAATCGATAACCATTCATTTTAACTACCTTGCGGCTCACGAAGCGGAACGAGTCCTACAAGAAACATTCGTCCTTCAATTAACGCTCCCCGTGGGGCTCGAACCTTTGACATCCGTACCGAATGCGGACGCCTTAACCACCAGACCAACGGTACCGGTATATGTATGAAGTTATAGTATACATATAGTATAAATATAAACATTTTATCAAAAAAAAAAAGACTATGACTAACTTCTGCCATCAAAGGCAATGACGTCTGTTTTCCTATAATTAAATTGTGGTTGATTTGTCTCCTGGTCAGAGGAATCTTTTGGTTGATTAGAGACGGAAAGTATTGTATGTTGGGCTTGACTCTCGTCTTTAGCAGGGTAACGAAATTCTCTACAGAACTGCACAATTTCTTCAATGGCTTTTATATTCATATCACACTGATATATAGTGTCGTCATAGAAACCCATATCAACCATCTTTCCGATATTCATGAAACTTTCCTCGCTTTTTACCTCGCCACTAGATGGAAGTTTGGGAAGTTTTTGTTCTCTCATAACGTGTACAATAACTAAAATAATTCTGTTGTAGTGACAATCTGAAACAAAATGCTCATGCTTGATTGTAGCCATAGCATCATATTAGGTTTTGAACGATTACGGTTAAATAAAACAATTAATCGTTTTAATTATAGGCAAGCAATTAATATCTTTCTTTCATACTAACTGAATATTTACTATAGTACCGATTTGAACTGTTTTTACATCACAGAGTCGAAGAAACTAGTCTTAAAACGTCATGTAGTGTTCCAGGATTAAGCGTTATAAAACGTCTGGGAAAACTTAAGTGAAAGTATTGTTACAGTACATTAAAAGACAATTGTCGTTATCAATACGGGGATATAATGATATCCATTTGACTCAATATCTGCATGTAATTACTCTTTTTTTTGTTAAAGTTAGATATTAATGAAAATAGCGAAAAGGATAATCACGTTCAACATCTTTCAGACATTTTTCAACCAACGCTTTTGTGGATCCGCCTTGTCCTTTGTTGCACACGAGAATTAAAACTGTTTTCTGAAGTGCCTCTGCTACTGTTCCAATAACTGCAGTATCAATACGATTCCGATGCATTATCTCATATTGCAACTGTTTTATAAACATTGTAACTGCCGATGTGCTTCGTGTGTCTAGTATTTGAACTCTCGGCGCACTGACGTATTGATCTAGTAAAAAGGAAACAAATAATCGTGCAAAATATGAAAGCGTTTATTAGACATGATAATATAATTTAGTTCTTAAGGAACTTCTTAAGAAGTTGGATATATATTTTGTTCCAGAGTACACATATGCGACAATATTAAATACTCAAGGTCATTTTAGTATTTTACACAAATCGGAAACGTGCATACATAAATGAACTTCCTTTGTTTTGTTACTTTTACATTTAAGTTGGACAGTTTTTCATTCATTTTATCATTATAAATATTACTTTGGTTACGGCTTTTAACCATTGAGTAATTTTAGATAAATAGTATTTATAATATGTCAGCAACCTGTTGAAAAGTGTTCATTAAAATCAAACGATATTAGTCTAAAATATGATACCCCCTTAATCGTTATTATTTGATCTTTAAACAAGATGTTCATAAATGTTCGTTATTTCAGTAGTTTCATTTTCAAACTGCGTGCTTTGAAGCATTAAGTTCATACCAGTTTTGTGTTCATCTTTATTTGCCATCTCCTGAAATAAAGAAAAACGGTAGTCTGGGTTGAGAAACCTCATATGTTAGAAAGTAGAGCTGCATATCCGTTTGCTGTGCTTTTAAGTTGAGGCTGATCACGGGTCACAACTTGTGATTGCAGCCTAAAAATTTAAAATAGTTCACGGTACGGCTTGTGCCGCAAAAATGGAATACTGTATTTTAAAATACATAAATAACTTTATTGTATAATTAATTGTCTATTAGGCCAAAACCAATTTGTAAAGTTGCATGATAATGGTAAACTGTATTTCTGTTGTTTTTTTGTATAATCCTACAGGTTTTTGAAAAGAGAAGGACAAATTAACTGTTTTGTGTGAGAACAAAAGTTTTATTGGCGTTATTGAAAATGCAGGTATGATGGTTACATTAATTCATTCTCACATGTAAATTGTGTCTTTATAGTTTTGTTTTGATTTAATAAAGTCATGCGTCAGTATATATTTGTTTTTTCTCAAAAAGGTCAAATAAAAGGAACCTGAAGATAAAATGCAAAAAAAAGAAGAAAAAAAAAGAAAAACAACTACAAACATTAAAGCAGAACTGGTATGCGAGCGACAATATAGTGACAAAAAGAACAATACTTGTATATACTATTTGCTAAATTTTCTTTTAATGTATATCAATGTCTTAATGTTTATCTTAATTTATTTAGTTTCATTTTCATAATTTTTGTACTTGGATTATTATTGAACTCTTAGAATTACAAGCATACAATATTTTGTTTATATATGAATGTTATCATTAATAACTACTGTTTCATTTCAAGGAGAGAGTTTCTAAAAAAGCTTCTAGCTTTCTACTCAATCCTTTTTGCATTTTATTGTAATATATTGTGTGTATATATATATATATTTGCTGAAATAAAATATTGTTTAAACCAATACTTGTATAGAGTGTATGTGTAGGGACGGACGGAGTGTTTTCGCACTCGTGTGTGCGTCTGTGCGTTTGCGTGCGTGTATGTGTATGTCATTTCTTTTCTTTTCTGAATAATCAGTGATATAAAAATGCATATGTTATAAAAGTAATAAAATATTTTTCATTGCTAAAAATTAAATCAGATTTGTAACCGTCTATATTGTTTAGATATATTTCAGTACTTTACTTATTTCAAATTGGTTAGTTAGATAGAAACTTTACCTTCAAACGTTCAAATAATTTGTTGAAAGTTTCCCTGGGTATGACAATTTCGTCACCATCACTGTGTTGGTCTAAATGCTGAAACTGAAAAAATAATATGCGTTAGACCTGAACATGACTTGAACTTAAACAGTAAAAGAAGACAACAAATCTAAAAATAGCCCATTGCTTGATTTGTGAACATGCGTGGATGTATAGTTGTTTTGAAAAATTGTAATTTTTAAGGTATGTCTAAGGTTTTAAGGTATGTCTAAGGTATCATTTGAATAAAATAAACTTGTTGAAACATAGCACATTAAAAACACAGATGTTTTATGTCTCATCCTGTTAAATTTGTAAGACATACAACAAATAGTATTTTAATCATTTGCGATACAGCAATCATTTACAGTTGGTCGTTTCGTGAACGATTTGAATGATCGTTGCAAATTTTAATCTTGTTTTCTTCCTACATATCACGATTCGTTAACATAACGGAATTGTCATAATATTCAAAGTACGGCAAAAGACAAATTACATATGCTTTCATGAAACAAAATTTGTAGTATAAATATCTGAACGACATAATGAATAAAACCGATATGTTGTTTCTTATCTGAAACTTTTTTTACCACCTGTCACATACTTTCATCGTATAACTTACCCATTTTAAAACTTCTTCAATATCTTGTTTTTTAGATGTCTTTTCACTAACCTATGACAAAGGAGAGAAGAAACGTATCTTAAATGTCACTGATGTTACTTCGACCAAAATATTAGTTTGTTTACTACGAATCATATTTCGTGTACTTTGAATGGAATCATGCATTATGGCAAATTCTAAAAATAGTTTTTTTCAACTGTGTCATTCAATATGGCAACAGAAGCTTTCGCGAGAGATATGGTAGTCACGGAGTAGTTTCGGATAATCTGCCCTTGCATTGCACTGTCCATTTTTTTCATGTACACTACTATTTTCAAGGTTAGTCATAGCTTATTTACTAGACTTCCCATAAAATTTTAAAACTAATTTTCAAGAGCAACTTATTGTATATTACGTATAAATATCATTTTCTTACACCTATGCCTACTTAAAATAGGCTTAAACTTTGTAACAAGGATATTCTTTTACAGAACTTTAGCTTAGTATTTGGAAACCAAACAATCTACGACATTCAATAACATCTTGAATAAGCATATAAAAATAAGAGGATATATAAAGTAACAAAATTAGCTGTTATAGACGTTCGTATAAGTGATCTGCCCTTAACATAAATTGGGGAAAGACAATATAAAACTCAAAAAATATCAACTATATATATCTTAAAAACTACTTAATAACTAAACATAAAAACCAAAACAACTAGATACAAGCAATAAATATAGATCAATTAAGATCATACAATTATAGGCAATCAACTACAACAAAACTCCCTTCAAAACATCAATATTCTCTTCTCTTAAACAATCGTTCACACTTAAAGTTTGCCTTTCCTAAACATATAAAATATGCTTTACGATTTTACATTTCCATGTTGAGAGAGTATATACAAAAATGCAGTACAAGGTTAATAAATACCCGTTCATTGAAACATAATATTTCCACTACACCTTAAATAGTGTATCGCTGTTGAAAAAATATTTACTAGTTGTAAATAAAAAAATAAACCAATACATAAAGCTGTAAGATATTCTAACACAGTTTACAAAATAATGGTAAACCAAAATGGAATATAAATTCATGTTGTCATTGACAGTATAGAGATTTCGTTCGAAAAACGATATTTATTGCCATTTAAATACACAAAGGCACCGTACATTTTATTTTTTGATTTTAATTTATCAAACTGAAATAACGACGACAACTTACACATGAATTTATTCCTCCCATTTTACATTTCAACAGAGAATGATACACAAATTTAAGCAATAAGTCCTGTATCTAAAAATCTAAATATCATTTTATTTAACCATGTAATGGCATGCCTGTATATTGGTATGCAACATGTGTGGACAGGAATATATAACATACCTCCTGCTGTGAAATAAATATCCTCTTTAAAAGCGTGTATATCGTGATAAAAAAACTAGTTATATAACTGTCCGTTTAAATTAATTTGCACCGCACCTTGTATCATAATTATGACGTTATCTGTTAAGTTAACATATTAAGAAGACTACAATGACATTATATTTGGTATTCAAAAAAGCTATTCCAAAAGGTCTGTATCCTGATCATCAGGGCTTTATGATAATTCCCGGGTGTGGTGATACTAAATGGATCTAAGATTATCCATAATTATGTTAGAAATTGATGTCTTGATTGGTAGATATTTTTTTAACAACATAACAACTATATTTTAAAACGTTGTCTTAAGGTTTGTAGCGGAAAGTAACGATTCCGCAGTGAGAACAGCTTGTAATTTAAAGATGACTTTTTTTTGTTGTTCATAGTTTTACACTTTTTCTATTGAAAAAACATTTCATTAATGATATGCGATGATGGTAAAATTTTAGTTTAGATTTGTTGTTTGTCATATAATTTTACTGTTTCAAAGCAATAAAGAAAATAACTTTTGTTTTTTCTTGACTATTTTTTTTTTCAAAACAGCACGTTTTTAGCGTCAGATTTTATTGGAAGAAGCGTGACGTACCTATTAACCATGAATACGGTTGTTGTCAATTTATGAAACTATTCTTTTGTTTCTTTTCTTATTAAGTACGTTAACTTTGTTGTTTATAAGGACATTTGGTGTGTAACAGGATCGCTTTTTAAACGAGTTAAGCGGCTCGGGCTCAATATATAAACAACGACTTACCCTGGGTAATTAAAGTGATTGACTGCGTTTCTTTAGACTTGAGCATGCATACTAAACTGATTCCATGTAAACAGAATACTTAGTAAGCCAAACAAAACTTTTATTATCATATCCCAGTTTATGAATTGCAAGTGTAAGATAGACGGAATGTTTTTGATGAACAGTATGTATCGTTAAAACCATCGAATAATTAAAACGCATTAATCAATAGCACTTACAAATTCCAAGATCTTTTAAGTTGACAAATTGTGGTTGATTATGAAAAAAAAATAACACAATTAAATTTATTAAATTAATTGAAGGTTTTCTCATTCTTATAAGGTACTGGATTTTTTTAAAGATAAAAAATACAAACGAATATAAGGAGATATGTTGAAGGTATATGTTTGCATGTAAAGCCATATTTTACATATTTATATGATATTATATATGATATTATATTCTGAATGTGCTTTCCTTTCTATTTGTTTAAATAAAAAAAATAAATAGGAATAAAAATAAATAAAGTGAACTATTGTTACTATTAGCATTTTGTTGTTTTGTTGTTGGCAATAATTTACTTCACTTACACAATTTAACTACCTTTGAGTCTAAATAATGAATGAATATCAAAATAATACATGAAAGACTTACATACGATGTATCTTATATTTTTATCATTATAGTTTCTTAAAAGTACGAAAAAGCACAATGTCACCGGGAAAGCACGAAAAGGTAAGTGTTTAAGGCAAAATATACACATTTACTGAAATCTTTGGTAAACATTGGTTGCTCTTTTAGTTGACGTTATATCTGAGGTTTCAGCAAAGTTTATAAAACTGGAGGTAAAGCCAAACATGGTGGTATTCTCTCATTATAACTAGAAAACGACAATAGTTTGAAAGGCAAAACTGTAAAGGTAGTCGTTAGAAAATTTGTAGAATTGCACGGATACTTCATGACATTTGTTTACAAGCCTATTGTTTCAACACCAAACTCGAGTCTGTTGATAGCATATATTATAGTATAAAGTTTTCAGTAGTGATACATGCCTCGTAGAAGACGTGGCTAGAGCAGATAATTCGGTGCTATTGACAAAGCAGATGGAACATCATTATCGATGATGCATGTCTTACATACCGCAATAGGACAGGTAGATGATACGGTGCTAATGAAAGTTAATGGTAACACTTTGTCGGAAGGCGCGCCAGGACAAGCAGACGATATAGTGCAATCAGCGAACACAGTGTTTTTGACAGTACACTTTACATCTTTGTCAGCAGACAAAAAATAGCAAACGACATAAGAGGAACTAACCTATCACTAGATTGTACTACTTTGTGCAAAATCAATCTAGCAGACAACATAGGATGAGCAGGCGTTTCAATGCAAATACAGTAAACTTCACTTATAGCGAACACGGTAATAGCGAACTTTCGGTTATAAAGAACAATTTATTTTGGCCCGAATTTTGCCCTGCTTTATTTAATATATATTTTCTTTCGTTTTTTTTTCTTTTAAACATTTTTTATTAATCTCTCAGATCCCTAAGTGAAGAAAAAAGTGTCATTTTAGTTATATAATTATTGTAGGTATTTATCAACTTAATGATACCAAATTTAATAGCAAATATGATACCAGATATTTTCAAAGTTTAATTTAATAAAACCTACACGGTAAAAGTATTCTATATTTTGCAAGACCAACCAATATACATTTAAGAATATTTAGTCAAACTTTGAATACAGCCCCTCATCGTGGAAAATTATAGGGATATTTTAAATAGGGCTTTTTTACATAGGGAAATGGTCAAATATTAAGTGTTAAAAGTGGGTGGGGTAGGGTTACATTTGTATACATATTATATTATATTATACATTTCGTTTAAAAACATCATTTTGCTTGTTTAATTTGTCACCTAAATGTCATTATTTGTTTCTTAACAATGAGCAAAAGGAAAACATTTTTCGTCATGATGATATTATAGATTATTTAGAGTTTCCTCATTTCTGAAAAAAAAACCTTCTAATGCCAAAGTTTTAGTTCAGAAAATGTCATAACTCATAAACCACACGGTAAATTTTGTTTAAAATTTACATACAGGTGACATTTTAGGCATATAACTGTCCTAGGTTGTCAATTTTACAGTTCCTTAAAGTGCCCATTAGGGGTGTCCACCTTAATTTGTTTCACTTGGTAAAAATGGTGTACTCCGTTTTTCAGCAAGCACGTTCAGGTATTATTGCAGATGGGAAAACAGCGGCGTGAATCATTGATCATACATTCTCAGTAAGGATCATCACTTTTCAGATTAGTGAACCATACATCCACCATTTCTTTCGAAATGAATGTGCGTCGATGCAGTTCTTTGCGTAATGCCAGATTATCGTTTTGAACAGTTGTTAAACCAAACATTTGGCATATTGTTTCTGAAAGGAGGTTAATGTCTATCATGGTTGAGAACTTTCTTAAGAAGCTTCTGACGAGTCAAGAGTCATTAGATCCAATGGTGATTTATATTCAAATACCGGAATTAGTAATTACACAAAGCAAGCACTTGAAGTTCAATAGTTCCATTTTATAAGGCGTGGACTCATAAAATAATAAACGCTATGGTTATATTATGTAAAGAGTATAACACGTGATAAAACTAAAATACTTATTAATAATAAATACTAAAACAATTATACCCAAGTAAGATATGACAACGTTTCCCTGGAATATGTCTACTTGGAGACTGGCCTATCAATGTCAACGCCCCCCACCTGCCCTTTGCAAACTCGTCGTTAAGTTAATATTATAAAGAACAGTGCAGCTTACAATCACAATCGAGTCACTATATGTGGTAAAGTGTGTATGAAAAGAGATGCTTATTTCGTTTAGCCTGTTCATTCTGAGAAATTCTCGCACTTTTCGAAAAATAATCAGATGGTTTAGGTAAAACCGCTTCTTTAAGGTAATGGCACAATTCAAAAGATCATAATGATGACAAAGCAATGAAACCGTATGTCAAGCATGGTCAGGCAAAAAAGAGAATGATATACTTCTGTCTCTTGTTACCAATTTGATGAGGCGAGGTGGGCTTTTTGGGGCGTTTTGGTTTGCCCTTCTATATCTTATACTATTACCCTTCCAGATTTTTTCCGCCTTTTTGATTGGATATTGATCACCCGAAAGAAATTGATATAACCGAGCCAGACGGGTAATATACACACTAAATTTCCCCGTTTGGTACCCAACGTTGTAAACAATATGCGCGGAGGTGATGCGCGTACGGTTCGATTTTACGCGATGTAAATTCCGATTTAAAAGCACTTTTTAACTGTCAAAATTAATGATAAATATTTACCAAAGTAGAGTTATGATACATATAACCACCAGTATCGAAAACAAATATGACCTTGTGAAAGCTTGATATTAATTACAAAAAAGTGCGTTCAACAGACTACTCCTTTTCTCTTGTTTACTTTCGTAAGGTACGGGAAAAATACGTCATGTATTTATGTGACCTCATGTTGTGACGAAGAGGTATCCTAAAGGGAATCTTATTTCGACGTTTCATTTGAAACAGCAATGATTTTTTAAAAAATCGTCTAAACTCGGTAGGGGAAGGGTAATAAAATTATTATTTTGGTTTTGGAGTGATATATGTGGATATATTACCTGCCAAGATAAAATATCACCCTCGCCTAACGGCTCGGGTGATATAAAATCTTAACAGGTAATATATCCACATATATCACTCCAAAACCAAAATAACATATATTATGCGAATCTGATAAAATTTATATTGCAAACAGTGTTGTTTTTTATTTAATCTATAATAATAGTCTGACAAAAAGAAAAAAGTCAGAATGTTGCACAGAAATGAAAATTTTGTATAAAGAGGATATACGAATTTCCTCTTCTGAATTATAGTCAATTTCAGAATGTCGGTTAATTTTTTCATTGGCTTCGTTTTAATAAAACATTGCGACGGAATGAAGCATTCTTGAATGACATGCGGACAAAACAGAGGTGATTGTCTTTGTACCAAACGAAGTGATGTTGAAAATCTTACTGTTAGAGTAGCTGATTCTGTAATAAAATAATCAACAACAGTTAGAAACCTTGACGCCGTAAGTGACATCAAGATTAAATTACTGTAATTCGTTGCTAAATGGATCTTCTAAGTACGTTCTCCACAAGCTCCAAAATGTTCAAAATACGGTTGCTCGAGCTATTAGCAAAACACCGGGTAACTGCCACATAAAGGAACTACATTGGCTACCTGTCTACAGCAGAGTCGAGTACAAACTCTTAACATGTGTGATAAAGGCGCTTCATGGACAGGCTCCTACTAACATGAGACATGCTAGACATTTATTTCCCATCCAGACATCTTAGGTCCCAATCTGATTGTTTAGCACTGATTTTACCGCGTAGTAGGACTTTTTTATGACGGCAGACCCTAAACTCTGGAATTCCATACATAGATAACTTAAATGCTGTGAAACTCACTTAAAACGAACTTACTTAAGAGGCTTAATCTGGACTGATTATTTTTTAGGTTTGCTTTTTAACAATTCTTAAGTCTTACCTTTATTTTATTTTATGTGGGTCTTTTTAACTATTTAAACAACATTTGAATTGAATTTGTGACTTGAGCACTATTGATATATTTATTTTTTTAATAATGTATCATTTATTTGGTTATACTGTACAGTACTTTTGAGCCTGCCAATTATTTTTCCCTAAAACATTGATATACCCAAGCAAAAGTCACCATATAATTCATACTGTCTTTTTTTCAATTTTCCTTTAAAAAGGGAAATTCACGAAGTTCACTTTTATCTTAGAGTTACCTGTGTAATAGGATAGGAGTATAATATTCACTTCAAATTTGTCATCTTATTTACTGACTTAAAAAGCTTGCTAAGATATTAAAGACATAAGACAACAATGGTTTGGGCAGTTACAATACAGGTTTCATTATGAGCAATATCATTCGTACTTTATGAAAATTTATTTATTTAATTTTTACATGAAGTATTATTATTTTCTTATTATCTTTTTAGAATCTATCAAGCCTTGGAGGGAATTCGAACCAGGTGGAAGTTGGACTGAACAGGTATTTTGCATTTTCTACCGAAAAGATATAAGCCTTTTTGACATATCTGCTCCATGTTGCAACATGGAATACGAAGTGTGTGTGCGTGCGCGTGTGTGTGCGCGCATGTGCGTGTTTTTGAATTTTTGCAATGAGACAAATGAAATGCGTCGTGTTTCTGAATAAAATCTTGACTTTCTCTGGCTAAAATGCAACAGTGCAAAAAAAACAAAGTTCGGGGCATGTCTAACTTTATTGTGTTCATTGCAATTTGGCTCTGACAAAATATATTGCTTTGTGTTTGGTTTTATCTTCTTGGGTCGGTAGAAAGAGATTTTTATTGGGTAAGGCAGAAGTACGTACCAAAGTGTAGATTTGTACCATTATCTCTGTTTTTGCTTTTTCTGTGCCCACTATAGGGGACATTGATATTTATCTTTGTATATCCGCCCTTCCGATCGTCCGTTCTCATGTTGTGTCGCACGTAGCACAAAAAGTAGTTGACCTTGAGTCATGAAACTTTACAGACATGTTAGTCAGCATATGTAGTTGTGCTTTTTGGCCATTTTTGTGGATTTATTTAGTAAATGTAATTGCCCTTGACTTAGACAAAAATTGCATTTTTCAAACCGTGACGCACATATTTCAAGAAGTATTTTACCAAGAGTCAGGAAACATTACAGGAATGTTGCTCAGCATTAGAACTCGTGAACATTGGGTTTCGCTTGTTGATTTATTATGTTTTGTCAGAGTTATTGCTTTTGAAATAGTCACAATTTGCAATTTTCATCTTGGGTCATGTGTTGCTTAAACATTTTGACCTAAAGTTATGTACCTTTAGGGAAATGTTGGTTGGCATGTGTAGTTGTGCACCTTGGGGTTTGATAATGGATGTATTCAGTGTTTGAAGAGAAATTGCCGTTGACTTAGGAACCGTTACATTGTGTTGTATTATGTTTTTCCTGAGTGTTTGAGTTTGAATCAACCAACTTAACAGGAATAAAGATACCCATCACTTCTTAATGATCAACCTTCATTTGCATAAGTAAATTGTTTAGTAATCAACCGAGAAACTACTATATTGATGATACGACAATTTACGATTTTGACAATGGACCAATGCAAAAAAGCAAACCTATACACACAAATAGAGTAAAAACGCACAATGAGAAAATGAAATGAAAAAGTGGATATGTCAGGAAATTGATATTGCATATCCCTTAAGCTGATAGAAAAAAAGGACATTGTGTATATGTGTTCACACAATAAACCTTCATGTCACTCAGTTTCTTCGTTCTTGTTTAATTATATCCGAATTAAGAGTTCCTTATAATCGATTTTATTTCGAAGTGAGTTATGCCAGCAGTATAAAATGTTTTCAAATTGTGTCTCTGTTTTCAAATAAACTCTCATTTCTCCTCATATTAATTTAATAACGATTCAGCAACTTTGACTTTTATCAAGTCCGTTTGATACAACTGACAGTGTCCGCTGATATTCGTACAATTTACAAAACTTCTGAAGTCGCCTAACAAAATTAAAGCGGCTTTAATGCAATATGGCTTTAGAAATCGTTAATTATAAAGTGTGTATGATATCTATTTTGCTTTTATTTTAAGTACCGTACAAAGCTTTTAGAACAAATAAATTTGCACAACATCGAAGAAGAAGGAGTTGCCACAATTCGAATTTTGCTGTTGGGTCAAATCAAAGCAGGAAAGTCATCGTTTTTAAACACAGTGGCTGCTATAGACAGAAAACGAATATCGCAAATCACACGAGCTGGAGGAGCTGACAAAAGTCTGACATTTGCGGTATTTGTGTTTTATTTATATGTAACGTATCAAAATATATACTAATATCGTGTTAAAACAACTATTTATATTTACAAAATATGAATATTAAACGTATATATATATATAATGATATGTTGATAGTCCCTCGTTATATATATCAACATATCATTATACTTATGCTTTCAGCATTTAGTAAACTATTCACATTCGTTCGCAAATAACATTGGTAATTTACTTTCAAGGAAAATTGTGAATACAAAGTAGTATGCCAAATAAATGACAATTTAATTGGCTTTCCTTCACTCCTAAGAGTAACCGCCCTCTTAAATAAATGTTATTATTGCAGATCTTAAAAATATATAAACACGCAGTGTTGTAGGCTTAAAACTTTTTTTCTTTTGAAATAATGTTACTTCACCCTTCTATCACCAGGTTACTCAGTTTCGTCAAGGCATTGTAAACGTTTTTTTTAACTAACATTGGACGCGACGGTGTTTTAAAGATGTTCAAAATAAAAGCTATGTAGGAGTTGTTTTCAAGTAGATTATTTGGCAGAAAAGTGGTACCTGCATTTTTTCGTCCAAACGTTTTTATTCTAGTCTTAATCATTTAAAGTTTCAAATTCGAGCACTGCTTGTCTAAGGTTTGTTCCCATAAAACTCAACTGCATTCTATCTATCGGCCAGCCTTTCTTCCCTAAAACTATTTTTCCAGAACCAGGGAGTGTTGCTTTCTTGAAGATTTTAGAAGATTCAGTGAAGTAATAAATCTACTGTTTCAGAAAATATTAAACAAATGTCTATCATATGGGTTTTCAACAAGGATATAACACCCAAGCATATAGCAAACGAGCGTATACATGTTGAATATTTTCTTAGTATTTTTTTTATTGAACAGTTTTCATCAGTCCGGAAAGTGTCTGATCTTCTCTTGTAAACAATTAATTATCACGATCCTAGGTTCATGTTTGAGAAGGTTCTTTGTATTAAACATGCACCCACGATCATGTTAATTTTGAATTCCTATACTAGAACTGACGAAAGCGAAATGTTGCATCTGAAAATGCGGAACTAAATGATCATTATCAAATAAAACACATACATACATACATACATACATACATACATACATACATACATACATACATACATACATACATACATACATACATACATACATACATACATACATACATACATACATACATACATACATACATACATACATACGTTTATCAATTTTCTTAGAATTATACTTTAAATGACTTTACGCCATTCGTTGTTTAATAAGTTTAATTATATTTTGAAGAATGCTAATTGCTAAAAAGTTATCTTTTTGTTTCATGGAACATAATATTAACGTTAATTGACTGTAATTTCCAAAAGTCACCCTTATCAATGATAATTAAAATTTCTGTAATTTTAATATGTTGTTACTGAAATTTTGAATACTTAACTCAACTTTACTGACTACAGTTGAAAGAGTATAGACCGACTGGAGCGTTAAAGAAAAACATTTGTATATTGGATACGATGGGGTACGAGGAAGGCAAGGCCGGCTTTAATGCTAAGGATGTTGGTTATCTTGTAAATGGACATATCTGTCCTGACTACAAGGTATGTAAAACGTCTAATAAATAGTTCTTCACTGATTTGTCTCATAATCACTAAACGTGTTATATCACTAGAAATGAAATAAATGCGTGCTTATTAAAACGCCACATACGTTGATGATAGCGTACACATTTAAAAATAAATCAACTTTGAAGTTCTATACCATTTAGAGTTCAATGTCATAGTATTAGAAAAGGAAGTTTCAAATACCAATATTATACGCCTGAAACAAAATGTTGAAGCAAAGTTATTCATTTATGTCAAATATAATCGATGGCATATTTAATAATATCGAGATAAATTAAATGAAAATCAATGATAATAAATAGGGGTCCATATGTCCATATTAAGAAATTGTAAGCATTGCAAAGTTGACAAATTAGTATAACTATCAAAACAAACAAAATGTGAAAAAAAAATATTTTAAAATTATTTATCTTTATTTCTTGTGTAGTTTCATCCTACATCTCACATCGAAAAAGAAAGTACATTTTTTAGGCCCAACCCCCAAAAAGGCGACAAGGTTAACTGCATTGTGTTTGTAGCGGACGCAAATATTCTTGGACAGGATAATATAACAATGGAAATAAGGCAGAAACAAAAAGAACTACATGATGAATTAAGCTTACAAGGTATTTTTTAACTTCAATTTCAGAATGTATTTTTTAAATAAAATTATGTTTACAAATTCCATAAAGAGTAAATCAATCAAATTTGAAAAAGATCGATCATGAACATAATTTGTATTTGTAAGCTGTCGTTTATGCTGTTTGATATATAAACACACTATATGTTTATTATTTTGGTGTATGAAGGTGTTGTTTATTGTGTTGCTGTTGTTTTGTTGTTTTTAATTTGGATGATGTTGTTTGTTTGCTTGTTTGTTCGTTTTATTATAATAATTCCTGAATAAAAAGGTAACAGGCAATTTTAAAGTAAAGACCATCGTCAGATAACCCTAGTAGCTTTTTGCCATCAAAAGATTGGTTAAGGGCTCACTCATATAAAAAGCAGTCGCTCATGTACTTTTGTAAGATTTGTAACGAAAAATGTCACTTGAAATCCGTCTTTTTGTTTACACGATAATGCATGTTTCTATTTACAGATGTTCCAACAATTGTATTGTTGACCAAAATTGATGTCTTGTGTGAATCAGTGGAAACCGATGTAACAAATGCATATACAAGTGAAAAAGTTAAACAGGCTGTTGACAAAGCCGAAGAGTTTTATAATGTTCCGGTAAATACATACCTTATAATGAAAGAATGATCGCATGTTATTACCGACCAATATCTGTGTAAGTGTGTGTCTGTGTGTGCGTGCGTGTGTGCGTGCGTGCGTGCGTATGAGTTTGTGTGTACGTGCGTGTGTGTGCATGTGTGATTATACAACTGTTACCATAATGCGTGTAATAAAATGTTAAAATGTGATAAAGTTTTAAAACAAAAGTGCAAAAAAAATCACTGTCAGGATTTAATACTTGCATGGTGCACATACGCGTGTTTTTGTTCCAAGTAGAAGTTATTAAAAACATAAATAATGTAATTCATTTGATAATTTTGAAGTCTTGAAATAGCAACAGCATAACTTGCGTATCTTTCATTGAATACATAGAATACATTTGTGTTACACAATTTGTTGTTTTGTTTTGGCGTAGACAAATATAATAATTATGTACTTATTTCTTAGAATTGATATGTTGGTGTAGAATTGATATTACGGTGTCAAAAAAGACTTTGGATATTGTGAGTTTGACATAATATACAACACAATATGCCTGTGTCTAAAACTGTTCTCTGTTTGCTTTATTTTAGAAACAAAATATTTTTCCTGTTAAGAATTATGAAAAAGAAATTGGAACCGATATCAACACTGAAATTCTAGTACTCTTAGCTTTGAGACAAATGATGTACTTCGGAACAGATTTCCTCAATGCTGCATCCGGATCAGCTGCAATTACAGAATAATAAAAAACACACAAAGACATCGATGATATGATAAAAAAAATCCGAAAGTAACGATCATTTCCGAATGAAACGGTTTCTACCAGAGTGAATTGTTCGATTATGTCGGATGTATTCTCCATTGCAGGAATAAAACCAGCAAGATAAAAACTCTTTTTTAAAGAAATATGTTCAGATAATTGTTTGTTTCATACATAATTATTTTATATAGTTATATTTGTATGAACTTGCGTTTGTTGTGTGTATTAAGCTGTCTTATACATGTTTTATTTTTAATACACCGTGTGGCTATCTTGACAGTTTTGATAAAAACGGTTACCATGGAGACTGCCATTTTACAAAAATATCCAACCCGTCAACATATGTGTTTCTGTCAATTTTCGAATTCAATCAAATATTACTTATCATACAACAAATTTAGAAAATTAGGATTAAAAAAAAGATTACATTTTTTCTGTAAAATATGTCTTTCAAGTACTTTTATTTGCTATTAACGTGTTTATTTTCCTTGTTACTATATCTTTATAGTCTGAATAAATATTGTTAACATTTGCCGTGTTTATTTGCTTGTAATTATTAAGCTATAAGGCAACCATTGATTAATTTGACCGTTAAGCGTTCATAAGGTATTCAAAGTTGTGGCAGGAAAATGCCTGAGCATAATGAATTATAACACGCACAAAGAATGCCTTTAAGAATATAACATGTATGATAGAAGATAATACCGGTGTAATAAAAAGCCAGCAAACGTAATTAAGGAAGTCTTCAATTAAGTTTATATATTATAAGTATAGTTAAATTGTGTTGGAAACACTCTGGTCCTGGTGCCAACCAGTACTAAGCAATGAATGCTCAAGGAAAAAACGTCTTGTCTCTGAAAGGGTTTGAACCCGCGCGGTCAGAAATCCTAAGATTACCAGTCCTGAGATTACTAGACCACTCGGCCACACCGCCAGTGTCTTTAATTTGAGTATACTATTCCACACAATAGAAAAACTAATACTATATTTAGTACAGGTTAAATTTAGGTGAAAGCTTACTGTTTAGGTCTCCCTGTTCATCTGCCCGTCAGTCCGCACTAAGCTTGTTCGGCATTCACGGGTCAAACTTTTAGTTTGATTTCAACCAAAGATCAGTTCCATCTCTATTTGTGCACAATACCGACACGTTCCGCTTTGCTGCACAAAATGGCAGCCGGAGCTAAAAATAGGTCAAACTGCTGGTAGAATTTCAATGAAACTTCACGAGTGATCACTACTAGAGTTGTGCATATCGCTGCACGTTCGGTTTTGCTGTACAAAAAGCTGTCAGATCTAAATATAGAAAACAATACTGTACGGTTATCGCGTTAGATGTGCGTATCGTTCGAGGTTTGATGCATCGCTAAACACGTTTATTTTACTCGTTCGTACACTGATTCCATCGCACTCTCCCAAAAGGCATGTGCAACTTAGAGTTAATCTGTATAGTAACAATGATTTTCTTTTGTTCTACATATATTGGCCATTTCTTTTCTTGATTTATCGTTTAATCGTTTATACCGAAACGCTAATAAATGGGCAAGCATATTCATAGTCGCAGAAAGGTTGCAATTTTTATAATTGATTCATAATGTCAACGGTAAATGAAATATGATATTACAAAGATGCATGTTTGGATTAATTCAGTCAAATTTTTACATTTCGGTTACGATTTGAATCTAAATTAAAATATTGTTATCAATATAATTCATGTTTTACATATTGTGTACCAAGAATACGATGCACTACTTTTTCGGGATGTTCGTTATTTTGGAAAAAAAAAACTATTCTTTAGTTAGTGAAATACGATACTGGGAACTTTTGTGATTTCAATTTTTATATTCTGTATATAGGAAGATATTTCATATTTCACACGTTCTTGTAAAATGTTCTGAAGTTATTTATGGAAGGCGTGCAGTTATTGAGCGTAAATGTTCGGCTTTTAATTACATTTTACGATGTACCAATACCTATTATTTTCCTAGTCACCCATGTGTTTTGCACGGTATTCTCTCATTATAACTAGAAATAGACAATAGTTTGAAAGGCAAAACTGTAAAGGTAGTCGTTAGAAAATTTGTAGAATTGCACGGATACTTCATGACATTTGTTTACAAGCCTATTGTTTCAACACCAAACTCGAGTCTGTTGATAGCATATATTATAGTATAAAGTTTTCAGTAGTGATACATGCCTCGTAGAAGACGTGGCTGGAGCAGATAATTCGGTGCTATTGACAAAGCAGATGGAACATCATTATCGATGATACATGTCTTACAGACCGCAATAGGACAGGTAGATGATACGGTGCTAATGAAAGTTAATGGTAACACTTTGTCGGAAGGCGCGCCAGGACAAGCAGACGATATAGTGCAAGCAGCGAACACAGTGTTTTTGACAGTACACTTTACATCTTTGTCAGTAGACAAAAAAATAGCAAACGACATAGGAGAAACTTACCTACCGGTGTTAATGGCAGTAGATTGTACTACTTTGTGCAAAATCAATCTAGCAGACAACATAGGATGGGCAGGCGTTTCAATGCAAACACAGTAAACTTCACTTATAGCGAACGCGGTAATAGCGAACTTTCGGTTATAAAGAACAATTTATTTTGGCCCAAATTTTGCCCTGCTTTATTTAATTTATATTGTCTTTTTTTTCTTTTAACCATTTTTTTATTAATCTATCAGATCCCTAATGGAAGAAAAAAGTGTCATTTTAGTTATACAATTATTGTAGGTATTTATCAACCAAATAATGCCAAATTTAATAGCAAATGTGATACCAGATATTTTCAAAGTTTAATAAAATAAAGCATACATAGTAAAAGTATTTTATATTTTGCAAGACCAACCAATATACATTTAAGAATATTAAGGCACACTTTGAAAACAGCCCTTCATTGTGGAAAATTTTAGGAATAATCTAAATAAGGCTTTTTTACATAGGGAAATGGTCAAATAAGTGTTAAAAGTGGGTGGAGTAGGGTTACATTTGTATACATATTATATTATATTATACATTTCGTTTAAAAACAATCATTTTGCTTTTTTAATTTGTCACCTAAATGTCATTATTTGTTTCTTAACAATGAGCAAAAGGAAAACATTTTTCGTCATGATGATATTATAGATTATTTAGAGTTTCCTCATTTCTGAAAAAAAAAAACCTTCTAATGCCAAAGTTTTAGTTCAGAAAATGTCATAACTCATAAACCACACGGTAAATTTTGTTTAAAATTTGCATACAGGTGACATTTTAGGCATATAACTGTCCTTTGTTGTCAATTTTACAGTTCCTTAAAGTGCCCATTGGGGGTGTCCACCTTAATTTGATTCACTTGGTAAAAATGGTGTACTCCGTTTTTCAGCAAGCACGTTCCGGTATTATTGCAGATGGGAAAACAGCGGCGTGAATCATTAATCATACATTCTCAGTAAGGATCATCACTTTTCAGATTAGTGAACCATACATCCACCATTTCTTTCGAAATGGATGTGCGTCGATGCAGTTCTTTGCGTAATGCCAGATTATCGTTTTGAACAGTTCTTAAACCAAACATTTGGCATATTGTTTCTGAAAGGAGGTTAACGTCTATCATGGTTGAGAACTTTCTTAAGAAGCTTCTGACGAGTCAAGAGTCATTAGATCCAATGGTGATTTATATTCAAATACCGGAATTAGTAATTACACACAGCAAGCACTTGAAGTTCAATAGTTCCATTTTATAAGGCGTGGACTCATAAAATAATAAACGCTATGGTTATATTATGTAAAGAGTATAACATGTGATAAAACTAAAATACTTATTAATAATAAATATTAAAAAAATTATACCCAAGTAAGATATGACAACGTTTCCCTGGAATATGTCTACTTGGAGCCTGGCCTATCAATGTCAACGCCCCCCCCCCACCTGCCCTTTGTAAACTCCTCGTTAAGTTAATATTATAAAGAACAGTGCAGCTTACAATCACAATCGAGTCACTATATGTGGTAAGGTGTGTATGAAAAGAGATGCTTATTTCATTTAGCCTGTTCATTCTGAGAAATTCTCGCACTTTTCGAAAAATAATCAGATGGTTTAGGTAAAACCGCTTCTTTAAGGTAATGGCACAATTCAAAAGATCATAATGATGACAAAGCAATGAAACCGTATGTCAAGCATGGTCAGGCAAAAAAGAGAATGATATACTTCTGTCTCTTGTTACCAATTTGATGAGGCGAGGTGGGCTTTTTGGGGCGTTTTGGTTTGCCCTTCTTTATCTTATATTATGCGAATCTGATAAAATTTATATTGCAAACAGTGTTGTTTTTTATTTAATCTATAATAATAGTCTGACAAAAAGAAAAAAGTCAGAATGTTGCACAGAAATGAAAATTTTGTATAAAGAGGATATACGAATTTCCTCTTCTGAATTATAGTCAATTTCAGAATATCGGTTAATTTTTTCATTGGCTTCGTTTTAATAAAACCTTGCGACGGAATGAAGCATGCCTGAATGACATGCGGACAAAACAGAGGTGACTGTCTTTGTACCAAACGAAGTGATGTTGAAAATCTTACTGTTAGAGTAGCTGATTCTGTAATAAAATAATCAACAACAGTTAGAAAACCTTGGCGCCGTAAAATGTGACATCAAATTAAATTACTGTAATTCGTTGCTAAATGGATCTCCTAAGTTACGTTCTCAAACAAAGCTCCAAAATGTTCAAAATACGGTTGCTCGAGCTATTAGCAAAACACCGGGTAACTGCCACATAACCCCTGTGTTAAAGGAACTACATTGGCTACCTGTCTACAGCAGAGTCGAGTAACAAACTCTTAACATGTGTGATAAAGGCTTCATGCTTCACTAACATAGACATGCTAACTTTTATTTCCCATCCAGAACATATTAGTCCCAAAATCTTGATTTTTTTAGCATTGATTTTACCGCGTAGTAGGGACTTTTTTAAACGGCAGACCCTAAACTCTTGGGAAGCCCATACATAATAACTTAAAATGTATTTGAAAAACCTCACTTAAAACCGAACTTACTTAAGAGGCTTAACGGACTGATTCATTTTTTAGTTTTGCTTTTAACCCAATTCTTAAGTCTTACCTTTATTTTAAATTTTTTTGGTCTTTTTCAACTATTTTAAACAACATTTAATTGAATTGTACTTGAGGCAACTATTGATCATTATTTATTTTTTTAAAATGTTATCATTTATTTGGGTTAACTGTACCATACTTTTTGAGAGCCTGCCAATTATTTATCCCTTTAAAACATTTGAGATACCCAACAAAAAGTCACCATATAATTCATACTGTCTTTTTTTTCAATTTTCCTTTAAAAGGGAAATTCTCGAAGTTAACTTTTATCTTAGAGTTACCTGTGTAATAGGATAGGAGGTATAAGATTCACTTCAAATTGTGTCA